AATGTAAAATGGCAAATCCACTTTAGAGAAATGAAACATGTCCACACAAAGACCTGTACATGAATAGTCATAGCAGGTTGATTTATAAGAGCCAAAAACTAGAAACAACCCATATGTGCATTACTGGGTAAATGGATAAACAAATTGTGGTATATCCATGCAATAGAACACTACTGAGTGATACAAAAGAACAAACTATTAATATATGCAACAGCAATAAATCTTAAAATAATTTTCTGAGTGAAAGAAAGAATATACTGTGTATGATTCTACTTATATGAAATTCTAGGTAATGCAAACTAATCTATGATGACAGAGCAGATTGGTAGTTATGAGAATGAAGGAGGAAAGAAAGGAAGAGAGAAGGCATGAATTCATTGTAAAAGTACAGGACAAAACTTCTAGACTTGATAAATACCTTCGATTGTGGTGATGATTTCCCAAATATATACATATATCAAAACTCATCAAACCATACAATTTAAATATTTATAATTTACATGTTAATTATGCCTCAATATATACAGACAAAACGTACCAAAAAAAGGCATAAAACGTTTCTTCAGAGCTATCCGACACCCTCAGAATAAAGCTAGAATCCCTTTTAACTGAAGGAAAGAAAAAAAGACAAAAACCCATCACCACCACCACCAGTACAACAAAGAAAATGTGATTCTGAGTCAGTTACTACTTAAGAGTCCTGGTTTTTTGCTCTGTAAAACAGAGATGACGCATACCACTAGCTCTATCTCTTTGGGTTCTGAAAACCACATAAGGATTTCCAGAGGAAAGTGCTTTGTAAACTATAAAGTGCTATGCAAATGTATCTGCCCTTCCTAAAATTCATCTTGTTAGATTTGGCACATCATTTCAGTCATCTGAGATTGTTTTAGATGCTGTCTTCATCATTTCATATTACTTGTTTCCTCCCTGGTCTCAATCCTTTTTCAATTTAATCATCAGATCACTGTGCCTTTATACAAAGTCATTAACAATTATTTAAACAGGTCAAAGTCAAGAATATCTGTCCCATTCTACTAAAAGATAATATGTAACATATTATGGGTAATGTCATCCCAATACTTTAATTCTATAATTATTTAGTTACATGTCTACCTGACTATACTACTCCACCTACATTTCTCCATCTGCTCCAACAATATATAATACTTTATCTACACTGTTTTGTTCTTCCAGCCTACTAAACCCTACCAAAAAAGGGAAATTAAGTTATTCTAGCATTTTTGCTTTAATGAATCCAGAATGTCCTATTTATTAATTTCTGTGACTTAAAAAGTAAAATTTAAAAATTCAATCTAAAATCTTACATCTCATCAACATCCAGTTTACATTTTGTAAGGCAGAATCTACTTTTTTCCTTTTCTTCTGGAAAAGAAAATTTGCCTATGTCCAGTTTCACAACACTTCTGCTCTCTCACACAGTTGTTTAAACACTACTTATCAGCATGATCTCTCAGTATTTCTAAAAGATCATTTATATGAGCAACAAAACTTTCAGCTTAGGTGGGTGGGTTATTCCTGTATACTCAATTCCCTTAACTACCTTGGACTTCACTTCCCTCTTATCGGGGATTATTTTCTCTTATCTCTTCTTGTTTGAAGGTTATTTTATTTGATGAAAAATAAGAGGAGGAAGAATGCGATAGAGCCATTCTTCTTTTATTCTGTTATATCATTGATGTAATGAGCCTTTGGTCTGGCTATAAAAGTATCTTTACAAAATACTTTTGTTTCCCTTAGCATTTGTTAACATTTCAGGTTAGGTAATGGAATTTTTCTAACACTATTTTTATAGATCTTCATTATTCTTTTACACATAGATATAGCATACTGTTCCCACCACTCCTAAAAGATCACAAAATAGTATGTATCCACTAATCTTGGTCTCCATTTTTTCCTCACTGTGGTAATTTCTGATTACATATCATGAATTTCATTTTTGAGGCCCTCCAATTCTCAAGCCATTTTCTTAGTTATGGCCCAAAACTCGGTCATGAGAGACCATTTCCTTAAAAAAAAATCTGATTTCATAAAACCCAGGGCGTATTTCTGATGATGTTCAAGATTCCTCTCTCAAACTAAAAGCGAACCTAAAGATAACAAATACAACACGGCTCGCCCATGGCCATGACCCCTGTTACTTCTCCATGAACTGTTCTACCCACTGAGACACAAAACCATAGTGTAAGTCAAGGATCTATCAGTGCACTGCATGCTGAACTGAATGATATTTAGAGTAGAAAGGTTATTTGTTCTTATGCTACCTTGCCTCTGTGAGTTTTAAAACTCTGCAACATAGTTCATTGTCCCTTGAAAGCCTACAATAACACCAAACTTAGGATCCAAGATTTACAGCCCACAAATGACTTCGGTGCCTAAAACGTTTTTTCAGAACACCTTGGCAAACCCTTCCTCATTCCCAAGAAATATCACAGAATCAAAAATCCTGAGTATAATACCTAAATCATTCTTAAACAAATTCCCCTCACCCCAGAAAAAGGTTCTACCCTCCCAGAATCAATCTAATTTCAAGTACACTCACTCTCATTCTCTGTAGTACCTCTGCCAGAACACTCCAGCTTCAGGAACAACAGGTATATTCATCTTTGGGTACTCTTTGGATACTCCAAAATTTCATTTAAACATTCTCTTATGTCTTCTTGTAATACTCTCTTAACTCTAGGCACCATGCCTTAAACCTGGGACATTAGACTTTATCTCAGATTATCACCACCACCCTCTACTTATGTTTCTTTTATATTTATTAACCTGCCATAATTGACTATTGTTCAACAAGTTCAATCTGTCATGGATTTAATGGTGTTCATGCATAATTAGGTATACATATAAGTAGAGTAGCTGGGGTCCAAAGACGAACTTCACCCACTGTCAATCTTGTGCTGGTCCTGGGGGTAATAGCAGTATTCTGGCAAAACTCCAGATCCCAAGTGGGCAAAATCCCTACTGTTCTGGTGCCTCTGTGGCACAAGGCAGAAATCTGAAGTCCTTTTACTAAGGTTGGATTAGCCCTCAATTGTGGAATTTCTAAGAAAACAGAGAACTAGAGCCAAGATCCTCCCAGAGAAAGGGCTCAATATCTAAGAGATCAGGAATGGGGGACAGAAAGGCCTGGGGAAGAGCATATGGAATGACGCAAAGACACTGATTTTCACACTAGGGTATTCAGTTAAGTAGGGGCATCCTGCTTCTCAGACACGAACAGTTTGGGAGCCTTTCGGTTGTCAGATTCATCCCCAAATGCTGGAAAGTAGAATCAGGTAAATGCTAGAGACCGAGTTTAGAGCAGGACAGATAAATTGGCTTAGGATGAAGCCCTAGGCATTGAAATTTTTTAAATTCCCAAGTGTACACAGGATAGAGAACCACGGTGCTTATGAAAACATATAACCATTTCTTTCATAATGTCAACAAGTCAAACAACTAAAAATACAAATTTAAGCCATTAAAACACTTAATGAATAGCTACAACCAACATTCACCTCAAGTTCTTAACTTTCATGTTCTTAACAAGTTTTGATACTCTTAAAAGAACAAAATGCAGGATCAAACATCTGATTAAAACTTGAGGCCAATGGAATGCCCTTTGCTCAGCATTCCTTCATTCCAAATTAGAATACAAATTAAGAACATGCTATTGTAGGAGGTTGCTAAGCACCAATAGCCAGTCTTTTATACAAAGATCAATTTTATAAACTTTCTCTGCTCAGCATAGAGTTTGGCACTGTATTCTGATAATTAGTAATTAGTAAATTATCTAAAGGAGAATTACATTGAATATTAACATCTAAAATCCCATTTATAAAGTGGTAAAATTTACGATTTTAGTGAAACGAAGCAATTCTGAAATATAATTTTCACATCAAATTCAAAACTTTATGAGGAAAATTATAACTGAATCAGAATTTTAACTTTTAAAGCATTAAGAAAATAATTAATTCAACAAGTCATCTTTAAGAAATAACCTGACACCCTAAGTATACTTTCTGATGGCCTAGAACTACCATGAAGCAAATTGTTTTCCAGTTCTGATAATTACTTTAACCTTTCCTACCATTATCACTTACTTTGACTTGCAAAAAAAATTTTTTTTCTTCAATATTGAAGCAACTTTCAAAAATATTCTTAACTGAAAAGTATTAAAGACGTAGTAGAAATGTATATGCAAATGTGTCTTTAAAAAACCCGGTCTGTACTGTAAAACAATCAAAATCATCTGGAATTTCCATAAAACTTTTCAATAATTCACATATATTAGGAAAAAAAACAAAACTAGATTAAAATTCAGAAAGATTATGGTTGCAGTTGCTTTTCTGCCATTAACTATCTCTATGACCTTGACCAAGTTATTTAGCCTCTCAGAAAAGCAGTAACCACCTTGCAATTTGTATACTTGTGTGCATGTGTATGTGTGTGTGTGCACACAAGTATATATTAAGGCTAAAGTCTACTCCAGGCCTAAAATTCTGTTTCTAGCAAAAAGGTAACAACGGGAAGAGTTTGGAGACTGTGGATAAACTCTGTAAAGTACCAGTATATCTGTGTTTTAATTTTAATGTATTTAAATAATCCAAAACATTTCAAAGTCTATGACTATAGGTAAGATATATGAAAGGATTTTTAATATCTATAGCAACATATATCACCGATATTAATATAAAAAAGCTTCAAGTTCTAAAATAGGGCATGGCTCCTATCACTGCACTCACCTTATCACTTTTAAATATTCATGTTTTTTAATGTGTCATTATTCTTTCTCTAAAGTACATTCACCAGTTTTGCCCATCTCTGATAAAAAGTATACTGTTCTCTTCTATCATACTTAAAAGTTGGACTTTCACTTTACTGGCTCACAGAATCAAGAAAAAAAGGGCAACTATAGGTTTACGCTCAATGAAAATTATATGGAAACTAACAAGAACTTTCTTCATCACTTAACTTTGCAGGAAAGTGTAGGGACTGGTTGCTACTATGAAAAATCTGAAAAAGAAGTACTCTGGAGAGACAGCAGGTCTCATTTTAGAATGCTTATACTTTTTCAGTTTAAAAGTAAGATTCAAGCAACTTACCATTGTTCCAAAAGGAATGGCTCTTGAAGCATGGTAATAAATGGCTATAAAATTAATGAAGAAGGCAGTGCCACACACCATAGCTGGGATAAGGAAAGCCCCGATAAACATCTGCTTTATCCATCTCCTTCCTGGAAGAGAAACAATACTATGAAAAGCAGAGAGACAGATATACAAACAAGCATATATTAATTTTTAAAATTTAATTATTTAGTACCAAACAATTTATTTAAAATTTTAATGTAAAGAACTTGACATCTGACATCCTAATAACAAATAAAGACTGGCTATTCAAATATGTCTAATGGAAATATAGCTTTTGAAGTGAGGATACTGGAAAAGAGCAATGAACTATAGTAAAATAACACAAAACATCCTAATATTTTGTCCTAATTCTCCACTGAACTACTGTGAATTTTGGTAAGCCACTCAATCTTTTTAGGCTACAAGTTGGCCTAGATTGATGTTTGAAAACAATTGTTTGGAGTTCTGAAGCTTCTTAGAAGTGCCCATGAAGTCACTGGTGAAGAAAGAGCCCAGGTCTTCAAGCTCTGCTTCAACCAGAACAAGTCCATTTTCAACAGTTTTACACACTAGAGTTTCATGTAAATCAGCTTCATTTGAAAAGAGGGTTACACTGCTTAAAAAAAAAAAAAAAGTTTAATATCTCCTGGGTTAAATGGTCTCTAAATTTACTCTTAGTTCTCTAATTGTAATTATAAATAAGTATTTAAATTTATTTGTATGTTTCAAAAGGAAAAAAAACGTGTTTCATAAGCTCTCTCTCAGAAATTAGAACTACGATTTGTAAGTTTTACTATTTTTTTGGTACCACTTCGTAGTGCCAAAATTCTATATAGTGAGCACCTATTATTTAAATAATTGAGGGAAGGTATTTTTAAACTATGTAATCAGAATTTTTAAATCATGTTCATATTGAGCAGGAGAGTACCAGGAGCTATCTTTCTAATACAGCAGAGTACACAAGCAAGTGCACCAACAAGAGAGCATCTTCATACCACTTAGGAACAGACTATAAAGATTTAACACTGGATCACTATTAAAATTCAACCCTACAATCATAAGCAATAGGGACCCGAACAGAAAGTGCAATAGGAAAAACAAGCAATAACCTATCTTTCATTTTTTTCTATATTAAGCTCTTGTTAAGTATCTCTCTCATAGAATTACAACCCAAATTGACACTTCTCCAGAAAAACTCTTTGATTTTAAACATTCTCCTTTATTTAGTTTCTTTCTCAAGTAAGTTTCAAGAACCCCCTCCTTTCCAAACTAATACTCAGAATTTGAACACCACCACAAAAAAGGTGGCAACTAATTAAAGTATGAATTATTTCTCCTATTTAATTCCAACTCTTTCCTGGCCTTCTTTTTTCCTGCATTTTATATTATCTTCTCAGATTCAGGCAAGTATTAATAATTTCCATATTTGACTCTATTTCCCCCAAGAGTCAAAAAGAATCCCATGCACATTCTACTGGGTACAATAAGTAGCACAGGAATCTGCACTGCTGTGCTTCCTACCACTCTCCAAACCCTTGGAGACTCTGGCCAAGTTCCAGGCTACCACTGACTTCAAAATGGGTCTGGAGCATTATCTAGTGCACTGCCGAGTGTGAAGATCTAGAACTTCACTGTAGTTCAAATCCTGAAATAACGCTGAAAACTTCTTGATTCTCTGCGTTAACCTCTAAATTAATCTGGTTTCTGGGGACCTTTCAGAAACAATATCAGGACATGATCAAATCTCAGGACACTGTCAGACAATAACCTTTAGATTATACTTGTAAAGACTTGATATTCCAACGGGCTTGAGCCTGAACTCTGAGCTTTCAAGCCTAAATGTAGTGTAGTTTAGCTGGGTGTTTGCTATCAGCCTAAAAGCAAATTTATGTCCAAGTAGAAAATAATTTCCCATTTTAAATAAATCTGTTTCTGCTGTGGAGACTTCTAGGGGTCATAAACCATAAAATTTTCAGCCTCAATAGTTTCCAGGTCAAATTCAAAGAAGTTGCCTTAGGCATCCTTATTTCCATTGGACGGTAGTACTGTGAGATAAGACTCTTTTCTCTATATCTGGAGGTACAACGTAAAGGCTGGAGACTGACCGCCTAACTAAAACAGAATACATGATGATACTCCCCCTCAGGCATTCCAAAGAATTACCTATACTGAAGGCACAGACCACATTAAGTCAAACAGGACCAATAAAGAAAACAGTAAACCTGGAGAAATTTTAAATGATCTCATGCTCTGAGCTCCTATAACCTGTAAGTCAAGTCTACTAAAAGAAGAAAGGATTCCCTAATGCTGACATTGCTTAGGATGGGCTGAGAAAATCACAGTAAGAAGTCACTATCCTTAGGAATATGATTTTAAGGTCTTTTGACAACCCTTCATTCATAATCTGAAATACGCAAATCTATTACTTTCAGCACTTTTCTGACCCCAGACAACTACAGGGAAAACAAAGAACTGCAAGACCCCTTGAATGCCATCACAGAAACACCAAGAAGTACCCCTGTATCATTTATGCACCCTCCATCATTTCCAGGTCACAATAGTAAAGAAGCAAGGGGGGTATTTAAAATAACGTGCTCTTAGCAAAAGATTGTGACACAGAATAACAGAAATCTTTGTACAGGGTCCTTTGATAAATATTTAAGTCAACAGAAATAAACAGCTCTCATTCCTATTCTCCTTCCACCGTCCAGACACTTTATCCATAAGTCATAAAACAATGTATGGCTTTATATTCTTACAAAGCTATACACCCAATGTGGAAGCCTCCTATGGAGAACAACTAGGAAGCTAGGTACCTCAAAGCAAAATAATATCAATAACTTAAATATACTTTCTCTTACAAGTTTCTCAGGGCTAACTTCACAGTGGACAATGGAGATAATCTATTAATTATTCACGTTTTAGGAAATAAAATGCAAGAGGCTCCATAAAAGCAAGATAGAACATATAATAGGCTTGGTGGAGATTATGTTAAATGAGATAACAAAGACTGTTACTGCCCATTTTAAATTCCAAATACCTCGTAGTAAAATATTAGCATCTATAATTAAAAGTACAAAATGGTAACTCCTAAGTTACCTCCTTGTCTAGCATACAGACTTCCTCCAAAATAACCATTCACCGGAGATGTAGCAGCGTAGACAAATATGGCTGTACTGAGCATTGATCCCCTCCTACAAAGGCAAAAAAAAGTAAGATAAATTGAAACAAATAATTTAAAGAACATATTATATAGTCTTATCATATTAACATTAGTTTAATTTTAAAGAAAAATTTAATAGGAACACAAAAATATCATCCTGGACTACAAAGTACCTTAAAAGGTTGCCTAGTGAATGAATTTTCAGTTAAAATTGCACATGATACAGGCTGATCTTAATTTTTAAAAAATGAAACAGACTGATCTTAATTTTTAAAAATCTGCAGTTAAATTTCATAATATATTCTAAACAAATATTTCACATTTCTTTGGCAAAAATATTAGAAGCTGGCACAAAAACTGTTTTTGCAACCCTGTGAACCAATCACATCATATGGAAAAAGATATTCATCTGTTAAGAAAAATAATCAGAACATCTCTTTCTAATTTGACTTAACTGCTTAAGAGTCTTGTCTGCTGATGGAAATATAATGTAAGTAGCATAATCTATATTAGTACTATTACTTTAAATGGTATAACACTGAGACTTTTCCTATTTAGTCTCCATCATACTGTTAAAAGTGATTTTTTAAAAATCCATAGGTCCACAAATCAACATTAATAACTCAGATCGACAATTTCTAACTTCCTCTTACAAGAATGGTACCTAGGGAATTCAGACCAATCTCGTTGAATAAAACCAGACAAAAAATTTTAAATGCCTAAGTGCAAAGAAAAAGATTAAAATGATAAATGACACTATCTTTGCCATAATATAAAAATGTCCTTAAACAATAAAGACCACTTCTGAAACTCACCATAACTAGGAAGGTAAAATATGTTCTATGTATAGAAAAGATTAAAAGTTCTATCTATCGATAGAACACATGTCAGTTTGAGCTAAAGAATATTCTTTTAAAGAGAATTTACAAGAATATCACACTAATATGTGTACATTGGGAGAATATATAATTTTCATAAATTAACCACCTTCTGGGTAATAATTATTATTGTATTCCACTGTCCACCTACGTAGAATACAAACGTCATCAAAGACGTGAAATATGTAGCACTCCTCTGTTCAATTTCTTAAAGTGGATGTGTAATAGTTAAAACATTGCAATATTTAATTCCCATTAATATATAGTTAATATAAATGTTAGAGTAAATATGAGTGTCATTTCCATGTTTAAAAGATCATAGGTCTCAAAGTTAATCAGTTTTAAAAACCTGAATTTGTTTTTTCAAGAACTCAGTTAAACAAGTACTAAATTATTCCTTCCAGACTATCATTAACAAATTCAACCCATTTTCTGTTCATAACTAGGTGTATGAGGCTGACATAGGCCTAACAATGCTGAAAACTAAAAGGCTGCATTAGTCTAAGACCAGTCTAATATTAGCCAGAAGTCTTAATATTAGCAGGGAGGGTTCAAAGAAGCTGCTCATGTGACTGAGAGCCCAAAATGACTACCAGAGATTTAAGCTCTCAGTCCCCAGAGACATTTCTACTAAATGGAAGTGTATCAGTCACGATTTTAAAAATCAGACATACATTCTACCTCTTCATTCATAAATATTCTACAGGCATTTTCTATCCAAATTAGACCATTTTCACCTACACTGAAAAATCTGCTGAGGTAGAGAACTGTTCTCTTTGTTCGCCTCTCCAAGACTGAAGCAGGGAGCCTCTAAGGAGCTGCTTCACCTGCACTCGCCACCTCACCACTCCACTGAAATTTTCAGAGCAGCGGCGTAGACAGAATTTGAGCAGACTCACCCATACCTTCTCAAACACCATGTCTTCTCAATAGTTAACATCACACTAATAGGCATCACACTGATGCTGATCCTCTACCCACCTAAATGTTTTCTTCTCTGATTGCTATAATTATTACTGAGGCAAAGTAATTTTCACACGTTACATTATCTGTTTTTCCTTTAGAATCATTCTTACTCTGGGGTGCTTCTTACAAATAATACGTGCAAGTTTTTCATGTTCTCACTACTTTTTTTATTATCTCTATTTTCATTTCATGGCAAATTAAAAGAGTTCTAGAGTGAGAGTACCTAGAGTCAAATCTAGGCTTGCTAACACCGCTTACTAATAGCTGCATGGTCTCAGTCAACTTATTTAACCTTTCTGAGATTTACTTTTCTCATCTGTAGAATGAAGATAATAGTCTCTTCACAGGGCTGATGTGAGGATTAAAGGAGCTAATGTGCATAAAGCACCTAACATGGAACTTCAATAATGTTAGCCACTTTGATATCATCATAATAATATAGCTTTAGTGATTATCATATACGTAATTATGTTCACTTCAAGTAAGCACAACATAGAACAACCATCGATAGTAATAACAGACTAAAATAACAATGCATGTCTTGCCTGCTAACACCATCTATTAAATGTGGTTTCTTATTTCTCTGTAAGCGGAAGAGCCTCTGAAGTAAAAAACGAACTGCCAAAACTATACCACTAACATCTGAGAAGAAAGCGAAAACTTGGTTTCTAGGAGAGGTTATCTATTAGTAACTCCTAAGACTGTGACTATATAGTCAGTGTCAATTAAGTGGTGATGAATTTAATACAGTATTTAATGTAAAGCATGACTTCTTGGTAGATTTGAAATGTTTTTATTGTATTTGGGATTTAATTCATCTGAAATATATTCTAATATGAACTACCCACCAGAATACCGAAGTTTAGATTTTGGTCAATTATTTTAAAGCTTATATGGTAATTAAATTGCAAAGGTTATATTAAACAAGTAAACAGAAACTACAGAGAAATAGTTTTGTTGATTAACACACATTCACTTCAACAAGCATTGACTGAGTACCTTGCACATGCAAAGTTCTTTAAGCAGGTACTCTGAGAAGTCAAAGATAAGTTAAAACCCAGTCCTTGCTCTCTAATAGCTTATTGTCTAGCAGAATAAACAGCAATGTAGTATAAATATTTAATATACAACTAAAGAGTCATTATTTTTGCAACAATTTATTGTTTGTCCACCAAATGCCAGACTTATATAAGAACGAATGCATTATGAACTAAAATAGGAGTATAAAATATAACTGGAGACAAGTATCACTCTGATTGAGGGCTTCATGGGGCAGTATCTGAGGCACCTGAATTATAACCTCCGCCACCCAAACTCAGAGCGTGTTTCCTTCATTAAGGTCATGGCTCTCTGAGCGCAAGGTTATAGGAACTTGAGATCTTTGTAAATGCACTTTTTCTTATAATCTGAAAACCTCAAATCAAAAATTGCTTGCAACTCATTTGTCTACAAAGAAAAACTGTACCAGAAACTATGTAAATATAGGATAAGAAGTCATCCAATTATTTTTCTAACCTCGTGTACCTTTTCTATCATCCTTTTTACTTTAAAATGCTTTCTTCTTTTCTATACAGAGAATCTCCTAGTTTGCGGGGGTAAATGTGAAGTACTAATTTAGTAACTGTGAAAGCCATGTGCTTCTTATGAAGATCTAATTGGATCTCTGGCTTTCATAAAAATGCCTATTCACTTAGTCCAACAGTTCTGGACTCTAAGTAATTCTGCTCATACCTCTAATGGAACACAACCTTTATAATCAACCAAAATTTTCAATAAGGCTAGTAAGTTTCAGCATGTAACAGAAAATATATTTATACCTGAAAATTATTATACCTGAAGTTCACTATTTGTCTACAATGATGTTTATGCTATTTAAATTCTAAGATAATTGAAATAAGCAAATATTTAATGATTGACTTCAAAGGTTCCAATGATTAAAACTATTTAAGAACAACAAAAAGATAATAAAGTACAAACACTTACTCTGTATATAAATCTTCTATCATTGCAACAATAATAACAATGAGCGACACAGCAAATATCTGACATCCAGAACCAATGAGAGAGGAAAATATCAGTGGGTGACTTGATGGTCTAAATACATCTCCATGCACCTGCTTCCATCCATACTCATCCCCTAGGTCTCTGTCCTGTATACATATATATGTAGACAGAAGAGAAAATTATTCAGAATGAAATTAAATTAAGTTAAGATAGGTGAAAAATTATTACAGTTCTAAGTTCCCTCCTTTCAAACATAGCTATTTAAGAGAGTTCAAAATAGCGAGAAAAGACATTTCAAATTTAAAATAATCACTGCTTTAAATAACTTTTACCTAGGCCCAGTAAGGTGACTCCAATTGTGCTCAAAAAATCTCAAAGGAAAAGAAAATTATTTAGGAGCAAAAAGAAGAAAAAAAAAAGGTAAAATTGGGAGAATAGCACACTGACTCTCTTAACATTACTTTCAAACACTATTCTTGCCATTTAAGTCATGACTGTGGTTCATACATGACGAGGGGCCAGGTGGAGAAGAAGAAGAGTATCAAAACCAGTACTAGATGACCTAACAATGCAGACATGTCCTTTATAGACTTGAATCTAAGAAAACACATGGGGAAAATATAGGACAGTTAAATGACAGCATTTTTTAATAAATAGTATTTTTTAAAAGAGATTCAATTTTTCCTTTTCAATTTGAATAAGTAAATATCTACAACAGTCCCTCAAGGTAATCTGTTTTCTGGAGGGAAAGATCCATCCTGGTCAGATATGTTTGAGAAGCACCAAATATTTTATCTACCCTCTAATACTTCACAATATACATTAGCATATTAAAATTTAAATCTGTTTAACTGTTTTCCAAACTTATTTAATGATGAAACATATTGACACAGAAGTCATTAACATTCTACAGAACACATTTTTTACAAAATTGTTTACAATATAATTCTATAATTTTGTACAAGAATTTAGAAAACAAGCCCCCTATCTCAAACCTATTAAACTAAATGTAAATTAATAGTTCCATCCACTCCCTGAATTTCATGCATTATTTAACAGTATTAGAAAAATGCCAACACGGGTCTACAACCTCCTATCTGCAATTTTGCAATCAAAAATTCTGAAAACTGAAAGCTTGTTTCATAAGTTTGCTATACCCTTATTTACTGGCTAAACTTGGACTAAACAAGAGGTTATTTATACTGTTTATTTATCCCGCTGAGGGTGAATGTTCACATATTTTTCTAAAAAAAAAAAAAATGTTAATAGATTAGAGACAGCTTAGCTTTACACCTTTCTAAAACCTGACATCTCTGAATTCTGAAACTCATCTGACCTCAAGACTGTAGACATACATTCCAACATTCAAAATAACACTGAGTTAAATTGTTTTTATTAATATAATATAAAATGTTTGCTCACCATATCATCCATTTCTTCTTCTTTACTGTACCGGGCATAATCTTTTCTTAAAGTTCTCATTAAAATCATTGAAACTAAGCCCACCAAGAAGATAACCATCATGAAGGAGTTGAAAATTGAAAACCAATGAATCTAAAATAACATAAAATAAAATATTACATTAAATATCAGTCACAAAATTCTTAAGTTCCATGACAATGGGATGTTAATGTGAAAATAAAATCTTTTAAAACTTTTACATAAAGATTCAATCTTAAGACACACTGGGAATGAGTATCCACTATACAAAGGGAAGCACTTACTTACCCAGCAAATATTTCTGAAACATTATGTTCAAATACCACTCCTCTACACTAAAACTTACAGTGATATTCCTTATTTTCTCATATTAAATCTACGTTCCCTAATATTCTGTACCCCTTGTAAAATGGCTACCTCATCTTATCTTGCCAATTTTTCTTTCCATTGTAGTCTATACTTCAATCAGGCCTATTCTTCCTCATTTCCACCTCTGTATCCTTCTCATAATTTCTTCTCACATGGGATCTACTTTTGTAAATTCTATCTACCATTTAAAGCCCAACTCAAAAACCCTCTCATCGACCCTGTAAAACCTCTCATCAATATATTAGTCATTCATAGATATATTCCTGCTCTAAACTTCTACAGGTACATACATAGAATTTTTAACATAAAGGATGTACTGTCTTGTACAATTAGGACGGATTTAACTTGGGCTAACATGCTGACCTGTGCTCTAGGGCTGTGGTCCTCAACCTTTTTGGCACCAGGGACTGGTGCTCCTGAGAATCTAACGCCTGATGATCTGAGGTGGAGCTGGGGAGTGGCTACAAATACAGATGAAGCTTCGCTCACTCAATGCCACTCACCTCCTGCTGTGCGGCCCGATTCCTAACAGGCCGCAGACCAGTACCGGTCTGCAGCCCAGAGGTTGGGGACCCCTGCACTAGGGTGAAGGACAGTGTGGGCTATTACCCACCCTGAGGCTTCAGGCAAGTGACAAACTACATAAAAAACAGGAGACAAACAATTGTTTCTGCCCCTTCATAAGATAAATTCTTTCCTCAATCAACAATTTATTGAATACCTACTGAAATTATAAAGAAAATGATGAATGCATTATATTTTGAAATATCTGCCCAAAAAGGTTATATAAATTTAAGTTTATTTTAAAAGTGTCATTCATAATTTATAAAAGCAGTCTATAATTATAGGCTTTTCCAAAGATTTGATTTTGTTCCTACCCTGGGAAATGAGATGACTCAAAAGAGGACAGGAAAGAAAAAAATTATATATGAGACTTATCTTCTTTCAGTCAACTTATCAAATTTTTGAAATGTTTTATATAGTTACCATTTACTAATAAGATTTTATTACTATAATGCTAAAATTTCTAACAAAGCTCTCTGCTAATTTCTAATCAAAGATATGAACTTTAACTAATACCTACTATAATGTACTACTACTAACCTGACATTTTATAATATTCCTTTATTCCAAAAATTATGAAGTACTATGTGCTTTTTAAATTATTATACCAAGGGAAATATTTCCTGAAAATTATAAAGAAATCAGATGTCACTACGGGGCAACTAACCCTACAAACTGCCGACTCCAGCACCCCTGAGTGCTGCTAATCCTAAAGCAGCATCCCAGGTTTGTCATAAATTTTAGAACACTGGTGATAAATAGCTAACTATACCACCAGCACTGCTTCTTACTGAGCACTCGCTGTGTGTCAAACACTGAACCAGGTGCTTTATATACACTATCAAATGGAATTTCACAACTCTGATAGGTATTATAATCCTTTCTTCACTATTAAGGAGAGAGAAGCTACAGAACTGAGTAATCTGACCAAGGTTATAGTAAGTGGCAGACACAGAATATTGAGCTTGAGCTCCTAAACCTGTGCTTATAGTCGCTGTATTAGAAACAATCCCTAGACTTATATGATAGATCCCATCCCCTTCCACCTACTTAAGAAAAGTGCTGCAGTAATTCACCTCCTTTCCTCTTGTGCTGTCAGTTATGTACTCTCTACGGAACCCCATCAACATATACACGTTTTTCTTACATCACACATACACAAAAATAATTCTCCTGGTTCCATCTTTTCTACTGGTTATGGTACCATTTCTTTGCTCCCTTTAGCAGCCAAACTTGCTATCTCCAATTCTTCTCCTCCTACTCTCTCGTACACCAGTTCTGTTCAGATTTTGCCCCACCACTACATCAAAACTGCTTTGTCAAATTCACCAGTGACTCCAGATAAATCCAATAGCCACTTTCAGTACTCCTCTTACTTGACTCATCAGCAACAATTCAGAACTGATCTCTCTATCCTCTATGACACACTTCCTTCCCTTGGCTTCCAGAATACCATACAATCTTCCCCACACACCACTCCCACTTTACTGGTACCTCCTCAGAGCCCTTAGCTGGTTTCTCCTATTCTCTCTAAACTTTTTTACTGCCCCCAGGATTCAGTCCTAGGTCCTCTTCTAGTTCTACATACTCTTCCTGATAACTGCATCCAGTCACATAGCTTTAAATGCCATCTACATGCCAATGGCTGCAAGATTTGAATCTCTGGACCAGACCCTTCTTCTGAACTCCAGATTGATATACTCAACAAGGTGGTCAGTATCTCCATTCAGATGTCTTATAGACACTTAAAAAAACTAACATGTCCTAAACTATACTCCGCTATTCCCCTCCAAAGCTCCTCCAAGTACAGCCTTTCTGCTCCAGTGATGGCAGCTCCACTCTAACAGTTGCTCGGGCTGAAAACTCTATCTTTCTATCCATCAGGGAATCCTGCTGGTCCTACTTTCAAAATATATTCACAACCTGACATCCTCACCACCTATACAGTTATACCTTGAGCCAAGCCACCTTCATCTCTTATCTGGATTGCTGCAATAGCCTCTGCACTGGTCTCTCTGCTTCTCCCCTTGCCCCCACACAACCCATTTTCAACATATTAACCTGCTTGATCCTTTTTAAACATAAGTCGAATTTGTCATTACCTTGCTGAAAACATTAGTATGCCCCTTTGTATTCAAAGTCCTTATAGCAGCCTCGGACGACCTGGCTCTTGCTACCTCTGACTTATCTCCTACTACTCATCCCCTCACTCTGCTCCAGCAATAATGGCCTCCTTGTTACTCCTCAAGTACATGGAGCATGTGCCCACCTAACAGGCTTTTCAATGGTGCCGCCTCTGCCTGGAATACCCTTTCCCTCAGATACCCGACTTTCTTATTTGTCAACTCCTTCAAGTTTTTGCTCAAAAGTCCATCTCAGAGGCTTCCCCTAACCACCATATTCAAAACTACAACACATTTTATTTGCCAATTCATGTATCTTTGAACACACTATACATTTTATATTATGCTTATTGCATTTCTCCCCCACTAGAGTGTAAGCTCCAAGAAGGCACAGATCTTTGACTTTCATACTCTAATGTATTCCACTTAATATAATTTGTGACACAGAACAGGTGCCTAATTAATGGTGGTTAAAAGAATAAATATGGTACATTGCTCTACCAGTGAAAATGTCAGAAGGTAGCCTTTCCTCCAAGTTGTTAATACCCAATAGGAATATAAACAAGGTAGATCAGGTGTTCCAACAGGGAATGTCAGTTGAGAGCCCTCAATTGCTCAAATGCTATTCAAACATTGAAGTTTTTTGTGCTTATACCTTTACCTGCATTAATGTGTTCAGGACACCCGAGTGCTAAATCTGTGGAGAACATGAGCGGGGTAGGGGAAGAGGAAGTGGAGAATTTAAGCTCTAGGGATAGCATGCTAAATCCTTCAGTAAGGACTAAATCCCAAATAGCTTAATTATTTTTCTTTTAGGACCCAGAGGAAGATAATAAGTAGTAACAGGTCCTGGTGAAGTCCAAGGGTAGAAGCTGGCAGCAATAATACAAATCTGAGACCGCAGAAACTTATAGGCCATCTCAAAAATAGGTGATTAATAAACTTCAGAATTCCAGTCCAAAAGATCAAATCAAAAGACAGAAGAGGTGAGTCAGGAAAAAAGTCAGAAGAACGGCTATATCCCCTTATGCCCTGTTGTCTTTTCATTTCCATCTTTAAAGAAGGGAACCACCAGAATAAAATCTTTTTCTTGCTATAAAAAACCAAAGCTATCTGTACAAAACCAGCAGCAATGCCACTGGACCTACGATCTGAGATCCAGCTTATATCTGTTCATTGGGGGCGGTAGGCATTTCTTCCCTTTCTTGCGGTTTCTTTTTATGTAGGACTTCCACTAGCAAAACCTCCTGGTCTCACTCCACTCTTTCATTCACTCTGTCCTAGAGAATGCATACATTCTGCTCTGTTTCCCCACACTGCAAGTTTACAAGGGCAGGTGCCCATGTAGGAAAGGATGCAAAAGACAGTCCAACACTGTCTGAATACCTTAAGCCTGTCTAATTCAGAGTTTCAATATTAAGAAGCCCACTTGTCCACTGATATAAGCCATATTCTCCAATATTAGCCCCATAATAAAAGTGATATTTTGGCTTCTCGTATGTTGTATTCTCTCTTGTGTGTCTCTTAATTGGTTTAAACCATAGTCAAGATAAAGGGAGCTTTTGACTGCTCCTCTAAAACTTTCTATCACCCTTATGATTCTGAGCCCACATCTGAAATCGCCATTAGTTAAATCTTTGAAATCCAGAGCCCCAGCACAGAGCCCTACATATGGCAGACGCTCATTAATGTCTGCACATATTGAATGCCTTAAAATATAAATTTACATACCCTGTGTTGAAAAAAAGATGGATCGAGATATTTGTCAAATCGATCTTCAAATTTCACATCTGACTTTTTCCATTTTACCTGAAAAAAAGTTTTCATTTGAAAATCAAGGCCAGTAAACAAATTAATAATCTGATAACAAAACTCTGAGCAAAATTTGAAAAGATTTACATACTTAGAATAAGAAACGAGAGAAATGGGAGAAAGATATTATCAATTTCAGCAGTTGAAACATGTATGATAAAAAACTAACCAAATCTCCTCTCTCTGTATTAACAAAACCTGTAACTTAGAGGGGTCATTTCACTTTTCAAAAACTATTAACTATCACTGACTTACATAGTCTGACCTGATAAATGTGATGAGTTCAATTAGACCAATTAAAATAAGACTATGTACATCTTTAGATGCCAATAGTTTTATTACAATTATTGCATTTCTTCATTAGTTCAGTTATGCAAACATTACCTGCACTAGGTACACATGCACAAAGCTTGAAAAACTTTCAAAATGGGCTACTAGCAATTGACTCATTCCAGTTACCAAGAAAATAACTGGCAAAGAGATAAGCTAACTATATCAGATTTCTCTTTCCACTATTTTTAGTCCTAACAAAACAGAATTAACTGTTTAAGCTCTTACTCTGTGGAAGTATCTTATTCCAACCGATAAAGCAAAATATGGTAAACTATACCCATCCAAAACAATTTTCAATATATCACCTCTATCTGCAACAGTATAAAGGAAAGAGAAACAACAGAGAATACTGCAACCTAAAAACATGACTATGAAAATACATGACTGGGTTAGCTGGCTGCACAGTTATAATGATAAACTTTGCTGTAGCAAATGGTAGGTCTTACAAATGCATAAATAGTATCTAACACTACAGACCTGAAGAAAATCTTCTCACTGCTTTTAGAAGGCTTACTTATAGATTCGGCGGAAACACGGTTTTAATAATATTCTGTGTCATCCCATTTCAAGCTACATTTTCATTCACTAAAGTTGTAAAACACACAATTATTCATAGTAGGTCACAAACACTTCTCCCTGTATACAATTATTTTAATACTTACTGAATATGACATCTGGATTTTAGTATTGGGAACCAATTTCACCTTTCCTTCACTAGTTAGATTAACATCGACAATTCGATTTCCATTAAAACCTATTTCAAGTTTTTTGTAGGTCCAAAGATAGTAATCCTCTCCATTTTCATCTGCTTCACCAACAATACCTACAAAAAAAATAATACTTTATACAAGGTAATGTCACTTAATATTTAAAATACATTAGAACCAAAGTGTCATAAAACATTTTTATAAAAAAGCAATATTACTATTATTCCTCATGGTGAGAACAAGGCAAAAGTATAGGCTGGACTTCTATTCTTTATACTATTTGGCAAACATGAACACATCATAGTAAAAAAAACAAAAGTAATGAACAGCTCAGCATAACCTAGCACTAATTTGATCCCCAAAGTTCATGCTTTGTCATTAGTATCACCTTCATTGTAATAATTATCACCTTATATGTATATACTTCCCAATATTTCAAAATTTCAGGGAAGAGCTATTATCACCATCTAGCAAGGTTATTTATTCATTTAGTGGTCAAACTAAAAACCAAGGCACAGTACTCTAATAATCTATGATTTAGCCATTCCTGGTAAGCTGCACATATGTTGTATATAGGTACCAAAATTTAAAATGCCTCCTCTTTTTTTCTCAAGTTCTGAACCTTAAAATGAAAGGACCCCTAAAACCATAAAAATCCTTGAAGAAAATATAAACAGAAAGCCTTTGGACATCAGCCTTAGCAATATTTTTAGATGTTGCCTCGGGCAAGGGCAACTAAAGCAAAAATAAACAAATGAGAATACTCAACCTAAAAAACTTTTACATAGCAAAGGAAACCATCAACAAAACAAAAAGACAACCTACTGACAGAAGATATTTGCCAATGGTTTATCCAATTAGGAGTTAATACCCAAAATATACAAAGAACTCATATAACCAAGTATCGAAAAAACATAATCCAATTAAAAAATGGGCAGAAGACCGGAACATTTTTTTTCTAAAGAAGGTATACGGGTAACCAACATGTACATGAAAAGATGCTTGACAACACTAATCATGAGAGAAATGCAAATGAAAACCACAACGAGATACCACCTCACACTGTCAGAATGACTATTATCAAAAACACAAAAAATACCTGTTGGTGGAGAAAAAGAACCTTCATGCAGTGTTGGTAGAAATGTAAACTGTGGAAAACAGCATGAAGGTTCCTCAAAAAATTAAAAACAGAACTACCATATGACCCAGCAATTCCACTTCTGGGTGTTTATTCAAAGAAAATGAAAACACTAATTCAAAAAGACACGTGCACTCCTATGTTCATTGCAATGTTACTAGTAATAACCAAGATATAGAAGCAACCTAAGTTTCCATCAATAGACAAATAGACAAAGAAGTGGTACATATATACAATGGACTATTACTCAGTCATATAAAAGAATGAAAATTTATCACTGGCAACAACATATATAGACATGGAGGGTATTATGGTAAGTGAAATAAGTCAGACAGAGAAAGACAAATACCATATGTCACTTATAAATGGAATCTAAAAAACAAGACAAATGAACAAATAAAACAAAAGAGAAAGAGACTCAGATAGAGAACAAATTGTTGGTTGCCATGTGGACGAGTACAGGAGGATGGGCAAAATAGGTAATGGGGATTAAAGGGTACAAACTTCCAGTAAACAATTCACGGGGAAGATAAAAACAGCATAGAGAATACAGTCAATAATATTGTAATAACTTTCTATGGTGACAGGTCACTGGACTTCTGTAGTGATCACTGCATAATATATGTAAATATCGAGTCACTATGTTATATATCTGATACTAGTATTATAAGTCAATTATACTTTAATAAAATAGTGAAAGAAGTGTTGAAGATAAATGGTAATGACTGCATCATTACCATTTATCTTCAACACTTCTTTCACTGTTTTATTTAAGTTTGATCATTCTGATCACAATTTGAGATATTGGAAGGGAAGACCCAAACAGTGTGAGGATAATAAGTGGTAGCTGAGGATCTCTCTCTTGTGCCCTTATACTGTCAGTTATTTATCCAATGTTCCCTACCTAAGCCTATATATTTCTCAAGAGCCTTATGCTTTAAGTTACTCCTTATGGCCTCCCCTCTATGGTAAATGCATCTCATTACAGTACTGGGGGTGGGGAGGAGAAATTATTTCTTATTAAGAATTATCTGCTTATTAATTAATTTGTATAGATTCAAGGAATACAGTTTTGTTTTGTTTGGGGCTATAGAGGGATAATGAAATCCTTCTAATAATTTCATCAAGGTTTATTTACCTATCTATTCTGAAAACTCTGCAAGTGGAGAGACAATTACAGCAAGTAAGAAATTATTCTCTAAGGGGCTTTTAAAAGACTCTGAAGACTTTACCCTAAAAAAAGCCAGATAAGAATTTTTTTTCTGATAAGGATCCCCATGGTTCACACATTCTAGGACACCCAAAGTATCTCCCCTAAACATGGCAGATCTTGGAATCCTAGGGCTAAAATATATTTATTTTAAAACAGTAAAGCACAGTAGCCATGTTGCTGAGGAAGCCCATAGAAATGACTGAAAATAATCTAAGGTTCCAGACAAGAAACTCATAAGTGATGGAAAAGACCAGGAGAGGAACCTGCTCTCTCACCAAAATAAACAAAAAGAGAGGGGAGAGGAGCCCAGACTAAAGGATTCTCCTGAACTATAGGTTCAGAAATAGTCAGTGACTTTTTAGCACGTGTTCCAGCAACCCTCAGAGCTGATCGCAGAAATGTGAGTTAATATAATTCTAATTACAGCCATTTATATAAAATGCTTACTATTTATACTTAATTAACATGCAACACAGTAACAATGATACATACAATTATATCTTGAGATTAACCTTTTAAATTTCATCTTGGTACCACACTAAACTCTGATCTGATATGTTTTGTCTTTCAATTTGTTGCTCACAAAAATTGTAGTCTGCTAACAATTTTAAGAATCAGAATATTAATTATATATAAGAACAGGTGTCCAAAGACTTCCTCTCAAAAAAAAAAACCTAACAGAAAAATCACTAAGAGAAAAAAAAAAGTGATCAAATGTGCTGGCTATAATAAATTGCTGTATTTTGTGGGGGGGTTTTGTTTTCCCATTTTTAAATAATTTAATCTAGTCCAACACAATGTTTAGATTATGCATAAGGCTGTATTAACTATGCCATAGCTCTTCTCCATTAATACAGATAAACAAACTAAACATTAAAAAATTAGACATAAAAACTAAAAAGTAAAAACTTAAAAGAAATTTTAAACACAGAGTTTTGGAAAAGTAACGTAGAAACTAGCAAAACGAGTCCTTCAGAAAAAGATCATATCTAAAAGCCATTACTACCACAGTTCCATATGAGAGAAAGCCAGAATAAAACTTCAAAATCCTACTTAGTTCCCTTGATTGTATTTGACAGTGTAAGTCAAATTAAGATATGAGAAAAACGGGAGAGGGGAGATATTTCAGATTGTTCAAAGTATCTTTTAATCCCTTGAATCTGAAAAGATATATTGCATAAGTTATATTTTGAAGGAGTTTCATGTAAGGTTTGGCAATGTCAAAAACCCTTCAAGTAACAAGGGACCATAAAATTGGTATTAAAATCATTCTACGGAAAAGAATGAAAACACATTTACTGATTCAGGGTACAATCACCTTAACAAAGTCATTACATAAATCTTGCTTATTATGCAAATGTAATATACAGTACTTACCCCATATTGGTAAATCGTCTATGTACATCTGGTACCAGTAGTGATTTTTGATAGCATACACAAACGCATCTCTCTTTTCTTTATCTAAGTCAATTTCACAATAAGTGGCTGGCATCACATCATCTGCATAAAATAAAAATTGCAAAACAGTTATAGGAAAAAAAACACAAGAAAAAGCAATATTTCCTGAATTTAAAATTTACATTCATAACAGGTGAATCTGGGTGATAAATATTGGGGGTTCAGTACACGATTCTTACTTTTTTGTGTATGTTTAAGACTTTTGACAATATTTTTAATCATCTTTATTTTCAAAGTGAAGAAATCATTCAATATATAAAGAAAATTATAAGAACATTTATGAAGTAACTTTAAAGTAAATAAATTGGTTTAAAAAAATAAAAGTTTAAAATACATAAGAAAGTTTTCATTTAATATATATAAACAAAAACTCAAGAATATGATCTTAAATAGAGCCAACAATTTCTAGCTATAAAACCTCTGAGATAAATACTCATTTGAACATTCTTGGAAATGCAAGTCACTGGAGGCCACAGATTCTATGAGGAATCCCAGTGACTGTTCATAATTAGCAAGATTAAAAGGCAAACCTCTATCTAGCAGGCAGCACTGTTTATAAATTATCCAAAAGTTCCCTGGAGATGATTCATTTCCACTCTTGACTGCTTTCAAAAATACTACTACCATAATACTGCTTAGATGGTCTCTAACATAAACCTCTCAAAAATGTGCTTATGATCATTAGTTTCTCAACAAAACAAAACAAAACCTGAAAAAAACCCACAAACACGCTAGATGTCCATCAAGAAGATTAAATTGTTTTGGTATTTTGCTTAAGCATTTAGGGGTGAAAAAATCAATCTTAACAACAAAAAAAGGAAGCAGTTGTTTATTTTGAAGTTTCTCTGCACTATAATATTGGTTATTTAGAACTATTTCTCGCAAGAAACAATGTTAAATTTCTTTTCTATGAGAAACAGCAATCTGCATTATAACTCCAGAAACCAGAAACATGTCTTCCCAATCCTCAACAGAGAGAACGGTTCCACCTCGCTACAGCTCAGCCCAGAGGGGGAACCCCAAGACTACACCAGCAAAGATGGCAGGAAACACTGAAGTCCCAAGAAAGAGGATTGGGGAAATACTCTCATTCTCAAAGTGGGAGAAGAAAATTGCTTTGTCTCCAACAACAATGGTTCCCACACATACTCTCTTTCTACCCAGGCCCTTTTAGGCAGCAAGGAATTTAGGATTTTCATAATGGCAAAAACTGAGGCTGAGCAGAGGAGGAGGAAAAGAGGGTTAGGACAGAGATTGCTATAGAGGGTTCCTACAGCAGGAGCTAGGAGAACTGGCAGCAAGAAGTTCCCAAATGAGATTTCCACAGTGTGATAATGCACAAAGGGCAGCATGCAACAACAGCTACAGAGGGGAGAACGAGAACCAAAGGAAGGTCTAGGTTTGAGCGACAAATGGCTGCAGTGGCTGTAGGAGACCTCACAGCTACCTCTCTCTGCATAGCCACCAAATTCCTTGCAGTTACATTCAGATATTCACTGATAATCATCATTAATGGTATGGTAGTTTTACGTATGAAGTTCTGAGATATACAATATGACATCTACTTGTACAAAGCCTTTAAAAGATTCCTCACAGTCTGAACTTCAGTTCAACTCTCTTTCTCAACTCTCTATCATCCTCTCTCCCTCAACTCTAGCCAACTACCTACAGTTCCCACACACCTTGTGCTCTCCTACCCTCTAGACTTTTTTGTTTATGCTGTAAACTCCACTTCAAATGTCCATCCTAAAATTTTTCCCATTCCTCTCACCCTCTCCTCTACAGAATAATTCCTGACTCCCCAGTCCTCACACCTCTCAAACCCCACAGCCTGCCCCTTCCTCTGAAGTCCAATGGTTTTCTCTCCATACTTCCCTATGGCATTTAGGCCTGTACCACTTATAACCTCTGCCAGTATCTTAGCTCCTCAAAAAGACCCATCGGGTCTTGAGAGCTATGTCTATAACTAATTATATCCTTTTAACTCCCAGCTATGCCTGTTTCAGTACCCTTCACAGAGCAGGTACTAAACAAACAAACAAAAAATTTCAGCAAATTTTAAGAGCATGAGTTTCCATTTACTTGGCAAAGGAAATCACTAACTACATTAGAGAATGCACATACATATGCATCTGTGTGTGAATGGTGTGTGGGTGGGTGTGTGTGAGATGAAAATGAGCAGAGTATCTCTGAAGAATTGACAAAGAGGTCTTGAAGAATATCTTTCACTGATATTTAATCTAGAAAAGAAATGCTGTGGTAAAAGGAAAAACCTATCATTATGAAAGGCTATATCAAGAGCCTTGGTTGGTCATATTTTAATGAAATTCCTCTTGCAGGCATGTAGGCAAATACAAACATCACAAATAACTGCAGAGGATGGCTGCTCAGAAGAAACAGCACTTCTCTCAGGATGGAGCCACTTTGGAGATAATGAATGTAATGTGTCTGAATATGCCAAATCATTATTTAGCATGCTATATAACTGAAAAACAATCTGAAACATCTATCATAAATCAATGCTTTAAAATTATAATAGGGTATACCCTTCTCAGATAAAATACACACCTATGAATTCTGAATTAAGATTTTAAGATTTTACCAATATAAGATTTTACCAATTAAGATTTTACCAGTATACATACTATATATGGGGAGGGGGATGAAATCAAAGTTTTAAAGTGGCAAATGCTAATATTAATTTTTCAAACAGAAAGCAAGGGTAGATTCTGGAAACTACATATCAATAAGTCTGTCATCAGCTTCCAACAACACTCCAGGCTCATACCTGAATAGACAGTGAAAGCATTGAGAAAAGAATGTGATAAGTATTCATGCATTCTCTAAGAATACATCATGCTTTACTTTGTTTACATTCTCTTTCGACAGCATTACTAGATTGGAAAATCAGAAATACTCTACTTCAAATTCAGCAGCACTTGGCAAAATTTCTCATGAAGTCAGTGAAGACAAATTTATAGAGAAATGGGGAGACACTTGAGTTTTAGTCTGGATTCCACTACTTACTAGCTATGTGAATAAAAGCAAGTCATTTACCCTCTGTGAACCTCACATCTCTCAACTGTAAAATAGAGATAACACCTATGCTATCTCTTTCCCAAAGCTGTACGAAGGATTAAAAGTGCCAATATATTCACAGTGTTACATCTCCTTGGGGCACACATCCCTTTGAGAATCCAATGACAGTAATATCTCCCTTGCCCCCACAAAAATGCACATTCATGCAATACTATGTATACAATTTCAGAGGGACCCCTGAAGCCAGAGCTTCTGGTTCAACTTTGTATACCCAGAGCCTACTATCGTGCTGAAATGCAGTAAATGCTCAAAAACTGCTGAATTAATTTAAAAAGGAGGGGAGCTGAAAAAACTAATATATTCTCACTTATTTTATCAACCAAGTATATATAGAGTGTTAACTGACAAATCCGACTGGCAGTATACATTGCACAATTTTTTTCTATGTCGTTATTCGTCAACATGTATTAAGAACTGTCTTTAAAATATTTTTATATCCTTCGATTCAGTAATTCCACTTCTAAGAATTTATCTCAACAAGATTCAGAAATGCATTAAAATACTTATGTGCTAGGATAGCCAAAAGCACTGTTATTTCTAATAACAACAATAAAAAATAAGCAAGAGAAGGAAGGAAGGAAGGAAGGAAGGAAATCAGAATATCTTGTAATTGGGAAATGAGGAATTACAATATCCAAGTTATGAAATATTATATAAACACTTTTTTAAAGAATAATTAATATGAAGACAAACTCATAAGACATTAAGAAAAAATGGTTAAAAACTAATTTATACATAACTTATTAATAAGTGCTTAGAACAGTATCTGGCACAAAATAAATACTATATAAGCATTAAAAATTTTAAAAATCATATATAGATAACATAAATCCAATTTTTAAAAATTTAAATAATGTGGATGAATGTAAAGAAAGAAGGATGGAAAGAAATGTTAATGGTAATTATATCCAGGTGATTTCTATTTTCTTCTTTATATTTCTATATAGTTTCTAAATTTGTACACTAATCCTATATCATTGTTAAAATAAGAAAAAATATATACACATACATTCCTTTGAATACAAAACTGATGTTAATCTGGAAGAGAACAATGTTATCAATGGTTTGAATAAGAACCTATAAAAAGCCCATGCTATTCAAATCAGCAGTTAGCACAAGGTTTAAAGAATTGCTCATAACAAGAATTCAAAATACCTAGATTCAAGATTCAATAGAAAATTGAAATTATTTGGTCTAGCTACGACACTCTGATTGAAACCAACAGGACAAAAATATAGCATCACGTTCTCAGATTTCCAATTAAACAAGGCAGATTAACCACAACTATGTGTTTTTCCCCTCCTGAAACTCCATTAAAATGTCAATAAAGGAATAAAAAGAATGTAGGTGCACAAGGAGAAAAAGGAGGAGGCAATGAGAAAAGATTTCAACAAGTTTTCAGAAAATGGAAAACCAATGGAAGATGGCGAGTAACTAATAAAGCACAGGAAACCATAACAGAAGGGAGGAAATTGGTGTCACAGAACACAAGAGACACTCAGGACTTGGAGGCACCCCTGACATTGACAGGTAGGGGACAGACGCAGGGCAAACCACACAGAAGAAATGTGTAAAAATAACTTTACGGTGGGGTTGGATGCACAGGTTCTTTCCTCCACCCACTGCACAGCTACACAAAGTGCCTCAACTTCCCCCCTGCAGTAGACCAGAGGCACTTTCCCCTAGAGACCTTCACCAGAGGGAGAGTAGAACCCAGAGACTGAAAACGGCTGTGAGGAAATTATCTTGAGGAAAGATTTTCAGGAGGAATGAAAGGACCTGCCACCTCATCCCCAGGCCCAGCACTTTCCCCGCCCTTTGGTTATCAGGCCTTACTACCCAGGCAGATATATGGAGGAAATACTTCATACACTATGCAGTATTTAAGTGGTTAAACTCTAGTGCTGAGCTGCCTGGGTTCAAGTCTTCACTCTGCCCCTTTCACTGAGAATCCTGGGACAAGTTACTTAACCTCTGGGCCCCAATTTCCTCATCTGAAAAATAGGGATAAAATACCTCAGAATTTATTTTGAAAATGAAAACAGTCAAGACTGAGAATCACTGAACTAGAAATATATTAGGCTCTACGCAGCCCTTGCTGTTTCTCTGTATTTGCAATACTCTCAACTTACCAGTCCACTCTAGAGAAGTAAAAGAAACGCTTGTAAAATAATTTCATCCCTCTGTTAAGTTGGGATATTCACATAAGAAAATATTCAAGAGAAGATCAATAAAATAACTGGGAGGAAGGAATCCTCTAGAAGTCATTGAGTCATTATACCACAATGATTCTCAAATGAGGAAGGGAAGTAGACAGTGATTTCCTCTGGTAGGAATTACTACTCCAGATCATCTAATGATCATAATGAACCGATTATCATAAAGAACAAATAGGCACAAACTGCCCGGGTGCCGGACAATTCATTAAGAGGTTAATATGTCTTAAAAGCTGGGGATACAACAGTGAACACAAATACTACCATCCCTGCCCTAGCAGAACTAACTAAACTACCCAGTGGGCTAGTACAGCAGCTTGAGGATAAATCAAATCCTCCAATCAATAATCTAACTTAACATTTCATAACTGCTAATAGGAAGTCAAGTTGGAACTACGGACCCACATTATGTGCTATTAGTATTCATATCAATGACCATTTTTTGAATAGTAAACTATGTATCAGGAACTTTGATAAATGCTCTACATACATTACCTCATTTATATCTGATGATTCTATCAAGGGGATATTATTTCCCTTATTTCACAGATGAGATTGAAGAGGCTGAATAAATTGCCCATGACTACACAGAGGCAGGACTGGGGTGCAAGTCTCTCTGACTCTAAAGCCCACGTTCTTTCTACTCCACAATAGCAGGTTCTAAGACATACCCTCCAAAATTATAGGGTAATGAATTCAGGCCTGATTCAGATACTTGATTTAAAAAATTAAAATATTTAAATTTTCTCTAAATGGTCTCAATTTAGCATTTTATCTAGTGGTAGTATATAAGACTACTCGGAAAAAAAAACAAGGTTGTGCGTAAAATCTCAACTGAGAGGCATTCTACGTTAGATTTAAGATTATCTTTAGTTCCCTAAAATAGTCTACTTAATGACTTTAACTTTATGAAATAATACAATCCATTTAGCTTGACAGAATCTACTAGGTTAAAAAAAAAGTGTGTGTGTGTGTGTGTACACACACATAAGTGTGTATATATACTATATATGTGTATACATTTTTTTCTAGTTTCACAATATTTCCAAAAATTTTTTCTTATCTGAATATGCTTTCAGAAGAGCCTTTAATAATCAAATACTTGAGATAAAAGATTAACACTATAAATATTTCTACAGTTCACACAGGGACAGAAAGTTTGAGTTTCCATAATATTATTGGTATGCTATAATATAACTTAGGCAAATCATTTTCCTCTTAGGCCTCCCTAAGAGGAAGACAGATGACACAATCTCTAAGGTGCATCAGACTTTTAAAATTCTGTGATACTATAAATCACAACCAGGAAACCTCGTAAAACACTTTTCAAAGAATGATCAACTTTATCTTTGAACAGGGCAAGCAAAGAGCTACAGTAGAAAGAGAAATCTAATCAGCATTTACTATTTCATCTGGACCACTTAAATTAACAGCTCCCTTAGTAGCATATCCACGCTGCAAGTACAGAGTTGACAAGACTGCAAAGAATGGCCAACTCTCAGGGAATAACACCTGGCCAGTTCTTTCTGTTTTAACCTAAAGGTGTTCAGTCTAAAAGGAAAATAAATCCCACTTTGACAGTCCATGGAAACTATCCCTCTCTATCTAAATAATCTTTCCACCTCAGCTTCATGGAACTTAATAAAGGAAAAATGGTTAAGACGCTGAATGAGCACTCTTCTTTAGTAAAGAAGGGTAAGGATTTCAAAAAGTGATGAAATCTGTCCATTATAGCAAAGTAGGACTCAGTTTTTGCCTTTTCTCTTTATCTGGTTCCTCTTTAATAAACTAGAGATGTGCACCAAATATGGAAAAGGAAAATGTATGTGAACGAATGTAGTAGTGAGTTTCTCAAAAATCACATACTCTAGTCTAAGTTTCCTCTTTATTTGTGATCAAATATTTAAGTTACCTGATTAAATCAAAATGCAAGCCTTGCGGTATGTTTACAATAATTCTTAAAAGTATAGGCCAGGCCACTATGGTTTAAATTTATAACTTAAATTATTTTTAAAATATTATCTTTAAAATATCTCATTTCATATCCTCCTCCCTAGAGTGCTAAAAATACCAGAAGTCAGTTACTGTTCATTTTATAAATGTAGACAAAAAAGTCAAAATAGGAGTAAATGACTTTACCAAAATCAATACAGTAAAAGAAACAGGATTAAAATTCAAAGCTCCTGATTTCGAGATCCATGTTCTATTCAAAAATCAAGACACCTAATCAAAGATCCTGCAAAATTCAATTATTCAAGCTTCTGCTCACCAGATTAAAAATGTCTATGCAGGAAATACTCTGCATAGTATTTCCTCTCTGACAAACTTCGCAGAGGAAAATAAAAAGTATTAACACACTCAAAGGACCTGACAAAACAGATACCTGAATAATAAATAGATAAGGAGAGTATTTTCCAATTTTAATGAGTCGGACTTAAAATTTAATACCACACTGTCCTACAAGTATTGGAAGAGTAAGTTAATACAACACTGATAATACATTCTAAGCCAGTGGTACAAGTTTGAAATTGAGGATTTACAGAAGATTTTTCAGTATCTATATATCCTACTATAACCCTGTACCTCCAGAAATTAATCCATTATAAATCTATGAAGGCCTTCCCTAACCACATATGTCCAATCACTATAGGGTTTACCAGAAAACACTTTTCAGAAAGAAATATGGTAGGGAAATATAATTTTATTAACAATTATTTTTATATATATATTCAAAATAAATCTTTATTACTCACTAACATGCTTTTCTAAAGCTGTGGTTTTCAACTAAGGACAATTAGCAACACCTGAAGACTTTTTTGTTTGTCACAACTGGAGAGTGCTACTTGCATCTTCTGGGTAGAAAGCAGGGGCTCTGCTGAGCATTCAACAATGTACAGGCAAGCCCCCCAACAAAAGAAGTTATCTGCCCCCAATGTCAATAGTGCCAAAGTCGAGAAACCTTGGTCTACAATCTAACTTGTACTATAAGAACTAGTAAAGTTTACTTACCTTTGAATTTAATATCAAGACCACTAAATTCCAATTCAACTCCTTGAAGTGCTTCTCCCAGAGTTTCATGGTAATGACTAATACTTTTTTTTGACCCAACGCAGAATGGAAGTGAAAAGTACTTATATGTCTCTTGGCGATTATGGTAGGGCCCAACAGTATTCATCCATAAGACAACTTCTTCTTTATCTTGATACTGAAACAAAAAAAGCAAATAAGTATATATTTTTTAAATCTAATGCAAATTAAGGGAATATTTGTTATTTCTTCTAAACAAAAGTGTACTACTGTCTCTGTTCTAAAGCTATAAAATAAAATACTGGAAGTTTCCTTTAATCTGCTGATCAATGTTCACACCTTAAAAATGAAACTCGGTAAACTTTAATTGTGGTCTCAGGCAGATCCACCTTTTCCAAACTTTGTTTTACAGAAAGTATTGTTTAAACAAAGTCCAATAGCTCATAAGAGTATGCTTATAATTATTACTTGTAAGTTCTGGTAAACCTAGAACCAACAATTCACCATGCTAACACAACAAGGAAGGAGGAAACAAAATCAACAGCTTATCCAAACCTCATGTTAAGCATTCGAAACTCCAAAAATTGAATGTTGCCAGCAAGCACAAATAAAATTTCATCTCCTTTCTAATCTTTTTAACCACTGGTCAAAGTATAAGAGAAAAGACTAAACAAGAGGAAGAGAAAGCCATACCATGAAATCTCCACAGTTCATTCAAACCATCATTCTATCTTCCCCTTTATCAGCTTGAAAGGCATGTATTGTATATATTTTTTTGAATAAATAACTATGGCTCTACTCATCAGTGAATACTATATGGAGCTAAATCTGGAGTGTGGTCCAATGACTTGGGTAGGTGACTTCACCTTTACCGAATCCAACTGAGTGATCTACCAAAGATTTCTAAGCTATCCTTAAGTTTAAAATTCCAATGATTCTATGAAAAGCAATTACCTAAGTAATTTTAAAACCAGTAACCCCAATTCACAATATAAAGACAACGTACTAGTCAACTAATAGTGCAGAAATTAAATCACTGAACAATTATGTACCAAGTGCCTATAACGTGCCAAACTATAACTATGTTTGTAACTGAGGATACAGCGCTGAACAAGACATGTTCCCCACCCTACTGGAGCTCAGAGCCTAAAGGGAAAAATGGACATGAATAAATAATTATAATAAAGTTGGGTGCTATGGAGCATATAACAGAGGAAGCTATCCAACTAGCTCAACTACCAAATCCTCAGCTCCAGTTCTCCATCTAAAACTAATAAACAAACATTTTTCAAACCAAACTCATCCCACCCAAATCCACCCCTCAACATACACTTTGTTTTTCTAAAGGTATCATCATTCTCTGACACGGAGCTCAAACACCAAGACTTATCTACTCTTATCCAAAGCATCTGTCCCTTCCTTTTGATTCACACTAACCGCATCATAGGACTTAAACCTAATCACTTCATTCGAACATAATATATGTCTCACTGTTCACATATGACATCATGTAGGTCATCAAGGAAATAAATCATCTCACTTTTTGACTACATGACACATTGAGCAAGCAGTGTTAGATGTTAGAGATATACAGATAAATTAAATACTGTCCTTTCCTTTACAAAGTTCATAATCCATAGAGGAGCCAGACAAGAAAATGATTAACAATAAAGAAATAAGTATTATAATTAAGGTGATAAAGGGTTACTGTAGCAACAATAAAGGAATGATTAATTCTGCTTTGGCAGAGAAGGGTCAGGATGAACGACATAGAAAATCATAAGCTGTTTCAAGTAAGTTAGAAAAACAACTGTAGATAATCTTCATGTATGAAGGAATGAATCAAAGTTCTGATGTGTCCATACATCTCCATTCAGCTGAAAAACATATGTATGCCACCACTGTTCCATCCAATGCTCATGGTCACACAGCACTAATCAATCAAGGTAATCCTTTCTGCTAAACACAGATACAGATATAATATGGATATAGTGTAAGAATGCTCAAAACAGTGCTCTGAACCAATCACTATCAATTGACCAAATTGGTACTGGAACTGAAATCTGTTCACTAAGCGGAAAGTTCTCTGCATAATTCAATGCATACAAAAAGAATTTAATAAATATGATGGAAAAACACTGAAAAAAAATGCTGAAATGTAAATTTCATTAGCAACTTAGTGAAAAAAGTTTGAAGTATGTGAAGGGACTTATATGTGCATGAAAGGGTTATCGGGTAACAAAATACATCTATTTAAGATTAGACAGGAGAGAACCTATTAATGAGGACCTTGCCGTTAATCCTGCTGAGAGTCTGCAGAAATGTTTAAATGTTATCCCATGAAAATAAGCACAAGAACACTTTCTCTATAAATCCTAAGACTCGTATGCCTTTAAAAAGACAAAAATTTGAATATAAATACTTGCTAAAATTGGGCATTCGTTTATTTCGTACAAACTGAAACATTGGACTAAAATAATTTCAGGGTCAAAGTGTATGTTTAAACTATATTTTAAAGTCATTATGAACATTCATGAAACCTAATAAAAGTTGTGATGTAGTAGTGATGACATGATGTGAGATTTAAGAAAATATATGCCATTTTGTAGTCGAGGATTCCTTCTGGGAAGAAAACTGAAAATAGTAATTTAAAAAATATAGTGTGTGTGTGTATATATATATATGTATGTTATATACACACACACACACACACACACAGAAGTTAGGGTGAATATTAAGGTAAAAATGTTTCTTTAACATTGCTCCTTATGCAGACTATGATCAGATATTATGAATTTAAAATGTTTACTTTTCATTGAAGTTCTTGATTGCCTCTGAGAATAAGCACTCCCAAGACAAATTCAAAACAAGAATTCTTTTTCGAGAGAGAAAATGTGTCTTAAAATATCCTGAAATTAAAAAATACCAGAAGGAAGATTTCACACAACTTTTGAAGGAGAAAAAGGCTTTCCTTCCCTAAAGCTGCTGAGAAATTCCCTTAACTCCCCTACTCCATGGGAAGAAAGCCACAGGTTAAGGCTCCTCCCTCCACCCCTGGTCGGAAAAGCTAGTCTAATTCACTTTCAAAACCTTCCATGGTATCCTAGCAAGCTCTTCCTAAATATTTTCCTTGTTAGCCAATAACACTGAGAAAGATGGAGTTTTATAACTTACCTACAGAGTGTAACCATGAGAAGAGGAGGAAAAAAGTAAAGGAAACATAGCAAGTGGATCATGGGATCCCTGAGGATGGTGGTGATTCCATTACCCTCTCTGGGAAGTAGTCATGACAGGCCAGCTCAGACTACCTGCATTCTTCACCTCACCATTCCATTCATTTTCCAGCTCTCAGAAGAGTTTCACTGTTACACTCAACTTCTGAGTTGTCCACTCCAGCCAGAATGGTCTATAATGCTGTCTTCCCTTTCTTTCCTGCTCTACCTTGTTTCTTATGGCATTTCCCCAAATCTACAGTGCCCTCCTCTCCACCTAGCCAATTTCTACTTACTCTTCAGAACTACTCAGATCCTCATTTCTCAAATACTCCAATCCTCAGTAAAGCCTTAACAGACCAATCCCTAACTTGCATGATCTCACTATCTTTTCTAAAGTGTCATTAGCTAACACCTAATAAGCACATACCATGTGCTAGGCATAGTTCTAAAGGTCTTTACATGAACATATAATCCTCTCAAAACTTTATAAAATAGGTCCTATTATATTCCTCATTTTACAGATGAAAACAAATTAAAGAACAGAGATGTTAAGTAACTTGCCCAAGATCATATAACTAATTAGTACCAACTTTATAAGTTTAGGGCTACACTTTTGCTAATCCCTTGTCTGCTTCATTAACGAGTAAAAACTGAATGAAAAAAATACAGCTGTACAAAACAACTAAAGACAGTACAGAATACCAAACAACTTTTCCATTTGAGCCTTTAATCTGCCCTAAAGAAAAAAGCCTCCCTAATAAACTACTAGTGCTCTAATCTCAAAAGGAATGACCTTTATACTCAAGAAGTTGCCAGTGTTAGGCCTGTCCTTATGTGCTGAGAAGGGACAGAGAAGTTTCCTACTTGATAGAGCATAAATTAATTTTTCTCAGAAAGAAGACTTTAGGCGATAAAGTTTGATGTGCTTATGTAAAATCTGAATAAAAAAATCAGAATTTTCGTAGTCAGGCAAAGGACGGAGGGCTCAGAATAAGCACCCAAATGCCAACATTTTCATGGGATAGTGTTTGCTTTAAAATATATATCTGAGAAAGCAAACTCCCATCCTGAAAGTTTCAGAAATCATAATTTCAATGCCTTTTATTTAATTAAAACACATACATCAGAATTCTAATACAAATAAATCAGAAGTATATTTTTAGATAGTCTCGAGATAACTGCTCTCTCAAATAGCTTTGTACTAAATAAACTTTAGTCTACATACAGTACAGCTTAAAATAGGACACCGAATTATAGCATTTCCTAAAATTAGATCTATATTAGAGCATTCCAACTCACTTGTAGTAAAGTGTCTCTTTATAAATCTTTAGAGTTTTAAGAGTTCCTATATTCCCAACAGAAACAAAGACAAAAGGCTGACATTTGACAAAGTAAAGCAAACAAAACATTTCTGAAATCACTCAGAGGTGTATTAAGTGTCTATGGCAGAGGCTGAGAATAAGGCTATTCTAGGTACAGATCAGGTCCTTCAAACATTGCCTTCCAGAGGTACAAAGGGCCATAAAGAAATGGGATTTTAGCCTAGGTAGGGCCCCAAATCCTAAGAGGCATCTCCAAAATTATGCATCGTAAGTGAACAATGGTCTGGGTTTATTCACTGTGCTTTAAGCAATAGGGTTTCATGCTTCCCACACTGCATTTTCTTGTCCCTAGTAGCTCCCTAATTACTCAAGTCACTCAACAAGCACTAATTAAATGCCACTTTTGTGCCAAGCACAGGACCTTGATATGTAAAAGGCAAATCTTCTTTTTAAAATTGACTTTGTGATCTTGAGGAAACAAAACCCATAAAAATTCAAAGCTACAATGCAAACGATAAAATGCTTTAAGATTCTTGCACCCTTGATTTAATGGAGTTTGTTTTGTCATTGTTGTTTGTTTTTGGTGCTGACATCTTTACACAGCATTACTATGGAAATTAGATGTACAAGACAGGTCGATAGAGCCAGGACCAGAGAT